AGTCCCCCACCCTACCATCTCCCCTCTTTCTGTCACAGCCCCCCCCCTCTGCCATCTCCCCCTCCTCCTGCCATCCCCATCTCCTCCCTGACAGCAGCGGAGGACCTGGGTACCAGCACCCGCCGTGTCGCCAGCTCTATTGACAGTTATCCAGAATCTGAAGGAATTCAAGACAAATTGTTAAGAGGATGGAGTTAATAAAATTTGAAAAATTGAGGCCTGTCGCTCTACTAAACTTTTTTCGATACCGCTGACAGAAACATATTTCCCCAATGAGTGACCTTCTGCAGCTGCTCCAGCGCCGCGACGCCGCGTGGATGCTGGGAGTGAACCCGGCTGCTATTTATCAAATATGATAAGCCGGGGCCTCCTAATATGAGCAGGGAGGTGCGGGAGGAGGCGGCGGACTCGCACAGCCCGAGGTGTTGCCCAGGTGTCGATCTGTGGCTACAGACAGCTAGTGGGAGGTGACAAATTGCCTTCTATTAAGTCTCCAAAGGTTGGCGTCCCCTCCGCCACCGCTCCAGCCAGCTGCCGGGGTGGGAGAGGGCAGGGGAGGCGGTGGGGATGGGGAAGGGGGTCAGGCCGGGGCGCTGACGAACCGGTCGCCACTTTTTACCTTCTATTAGCAAGCGAAGTGACACCGTTATTTATTGCGGCGTAATATTTTATTGCTGCCGGTACTCGAGGTTGGAATCGACCAGTTTGTAGGAGTCGGGTTCTATCAATTATTGCAGCAATTAGTCAAGTCGTCAAAGCCATTAACAGGGGGATTAGGCCAATATTGGATAGCCATTATTGATAGATCCAGGGGAAGGGAAAAGCCAAACAGACCCTCAACCTCCAGCTGAAATGAGAGCAGGCCTGGCCCCGAGGATGTCATCATTCGGAGGAGCCAGAAACTCGCCCCCCTCCTCGCTGTGTGAACCTGGGGTGGGTTCGGCGGCGGGGTGGGGGGGTGGTATCACCACTGTCTCTTTAAAAGATATTGAGAGCCCGGCCTCAGCAGTTTATAATCTCACCTGTCTCGATCATATTCTTTATTCACCATGACAAGGCTTGCAATAGAAATTACTCTGTGTCGGATGTTTATGGAGCACATTTTTCATTCTGTAAGCAAATATAGATCCCTGATGCCAATGCTTAGAAATGGCTCATCTCTGCAGCTCCCACCCGCAGAGCGGCCTCGCGTTTCTCTCATATATTATGATCGCAGCTCGCTTTTATTGAGCCCTCCCGGAGCTCTCTGCTCCCTCCTGCCTTGCACAAGTGGAACCCGCAGCCCCGTCGGTGTGGGCCGAGGTGCCCACGTCACCCCCGGGTTTGTGGCGGGACGGAAGGTGGGTGCTGAGCCCCTTGGGGGCAGTGCTCAGGCTCCTCTTTGTCACCGTGGGGCACGGGCAGCCTCCCCCTGCCCTGCCCAGCGGCTGGGCACCGCCATCCCCTCCGCTTTGCAGGCGAGTGAGCCGGAGGGACGGGGGTGCCGGTCAGTTCAAGACCAGCCCAGGGTGGTGTTGAGACTGATTTGAAGGTTCATTTTCATAACTTTCAGTGTCCGGTTGGCAACAATATGCTGTCGAGGAGCCACCGATGTTAGTGCCGAGTCCCTGTGCCTTAGAGGTATCTCCTGAGGTGCTGAGAGCCAGAGATTAATCCCAAGACCTTCCCTGCTATTCCCTGTGCCCCCCTCTCAGACCGCACCATCCAAGATTTCCTCAATATACATCCCATCACTGCAACTGGACCGGTTTGACCACGCACGTTCTTCCGCAACCCAGCGTGTCTGGGATTGGGACAGAGGACAGGGGGAGCTTGTTTCTGTGGGGGGTGCCCATCTGACTCCCCCCCACTTCAATCTTTGGGGCCTGTTGCCTTTTTGTGAAAGTTAAATTCTAAAGAAGAGTGTGCTTTTCCCCCAGAAACCTCTCCTGTGGCTCAGGGGGGCAGCTGTTTAGCAGACCACGGCCATCGCCAGCTCGGCTTGGGCTAACAGAGAGGAAGGGCAGCGTGTCCAATCGAAGCCGTAATGGTCCCATGTGGCTCCCACAGGACGGGGAGCGGGTGCTTTTGTGAAGCTGCATTTTCTGCTGGTGACCATGTGCTTTCATCCCCCACAGCAGCTCTTCCCTGCCAGGCCAATTGTTAGAAGTGACAATTCCTTTTCTTCTTCCCTGGACACCCGTGCATGTAACCGCTGGTTGTACATTGTCCCTTTTTTGATCCAGATCCCCTTCGGAGCAAAGGTTAGGATGGGACATCGACCAGGATGGGAGGCACAAGATGTGTTTCCTGCTCATTCTGCCCCAAGACTGAACTCTCATCCCCTGATTTTATTCATTTCTTTCTGCCATCAGGTGCCAACCCCCTGCAGAAGAACGAAATGGGACACACGCCCCTGGACTACGCCCGTGATGGCGAGGTCATGAGCCTTTTGAAAGCGTCTGAGACAAAGGTGAGTGCTCACGAGATTCAGTGATTTTGTGTTTCCCTTCCCACAGCAAGACCAGTTTTAAAGAAGACCTGGTGCAGGCAGCGCAGGACCCTTAGTGCACCTGTGCCTCCGTGCTTTTTCAAAAAGAGATCAGTATAAATTAATGACATGGTACCTAAGGCAAAAAAACCTGCTTCTGAAGTATTTTACAGAATCCCAGAATGATCTGGGTTGGAAAAGCCCTTGAAGCTCCTCCAGCCCCACCATGACCCTCCCCCTGACCGTTCCCAACTCCCCCAGATCCCTCAGCGCTGGCTCAGCCCGACTCTTCAACCCCTCCAGGGATCCCGGGGACTCCCCCCTGCCCTGGGCAGCCCATTCCAACGCCCAACAGCCCCTTCTGCACAGAAATCCTTCCTCAGAGCCAGCCTGACCCTGCCCTGGGCAGCTTGAGGCCATTCCCTCGGGGCCTGGCGCTGGGGCCTTGGCTCCAGAGACTCATCCCCCCTCTCTGCCCCCTCCTGGCAGGGAGTTGCCGAGGGCCAGGAGGTCTCCCCTCAGCCTCCTCTTCTCCAGACTGAACATATTTCAATAGCTGTCATGTACGTAGGGCTAAGAGGAAGGGAGCAGCCCTTCAAACCAGTGTCTTTTCTCTTTGGGTTTTTCCTCTCTGGTGGCCGTTGCTCAGTGGGAGCTGCTCAGGGTGCTCTGACGGCAAAATACCTGGAGGCACTGCAGCTCTATAGCCCGTGGGAGAGCAGGGCTCTGCTGAGCAGAAATCCATAGTGGGAAAGCTGGGAAAAAGCACCATAACTGGTGCAGTCTTTTACCCACAAACAGGACTTTTTTCCTACCTAGGGTTTTTCACAATGTTGGTTTTCCAAGGAGGAAGGAAGAGGACATTCCGCATCCTGACAACACAGTTCTCTGCACCTTAAGACAGGCAGAATAGGAGGCAGGGAGAAAAGATTTGTCCAGATATATAGGAAGACACAAGATATATGGCCAGAGCAGGGCTTTGAGCCTCGTGGAGTACTCGGAGCCTGGGGGAAACTCGGCAGCCGCGCCTGTGTGCATCCCACGGTGCCGTTCCGCTGGGATCCGCAGGGAAGTTATTGCTCCATATGAGGCGTCAGGGCTGATGGCGTCTCTCCGTTACACGCCAGACTGATAGCACCAGCCAAAATTGGATTGTTTGCTATTTATTTTTTTTAAACTTCTGTCAGAGTCACTACTAGCCCAGGAAACACTGGCAACCTGGCTGGGGGGTTTTATCCGCTCCGGCTCTGGCAGCAGGATCCTGCTGCAGCTTCTGCAACTGCTTTCTGGTTCTGCTAGAAGCCTTTCCCCCTCGGGGAGGTGGGTCCAGTCGTGGGGCCAGTTACGTGTGTGAAGTTACTCGCTCCGCAGACCCTGTGGGCTCTTTATGTTCTGTCCTTAGTGAAGTCCAGCTCGGGAGGGACACGGTTATTTCCCAAGCAGTGGTTTCACTGGTGAGATGCCCAAGCCCTGCTCGTGCTGAGGAAAGGTGCTCAGCAAAAAGTTTGGCAGCATTTTCTAAACATGAGCAGGGGCTGGATTTGTCCTCTTCCCTCTAGAATTTCACAGCACCGTGAGACCTGCTCGCACGGGGGGATTGTACCTGCGTCCCAGCCCTGAGCATCTCAGAGACGTGCTCATGTCTGATGTCTCTGCGACCTGCTCTGTGCGGTGTCGCAGCCTCCAGCTCCGGAACAGGATCTGGGTGGAGGTGGCCTGTAAGTCACTGGCTCTCAGAGGTGCTGCTGCCTCGTGAGCAGGAGGTGGCAGAAAGCAAATGTCCCTAGTAAAGAGCTTTACCTGGCACAGCCCTGCGTGCTGTGGGGGGTTTGTCAGCGAGGCAGTGGTGTCTGACTGACCCAGCGTCCGCGACAGGTGACAGCGATGCTCTTCTCTCCATTCCCGTGTGCCCCAGACCCATCCCTGGCAGATCCAGAAGTTTCCTCTTGTTTGGGCTGGTGCTGCCAGTGC